AATATTATACTATAATAACATTATTATACATAATATTATACGTCTTCAAAGTGCCTACCAAAATTTCACTTGTGGTGTCGAGATCGCAGTGCGAGAAATATACATCACAGTTCAGTCTTCCGTAAAAACGAATTAATTTTCGTGAGATTAGAAAATAACCTCAGAGAACAATGGGTAATGCACTATATATTTACTATAAAGTGTGATATTCATTATAATATTATACGTATATATACTAACAGTTGATATAAAAACACTCACTTGATTTCGGATTCAATTTTCTTGGTTATTAATTCTTTTTTTCTTGATCTTTATAATTAAAACTCCCACTTCTATATATATACTGCAGGGTTTAACAGAATAATACCTGTCAAATAAAAATACAAAATTGATAATAGTATGAAACGTATAACAAAAACGTTGAAAATCACATGGCTAATAAATAATATAAGAAATATACTTATGTCAGGAAATTCCCAAAAAGATTATTTTAAAAAAAGTGATGGCGTTTCTTATTATTAATTTACTCCAAAAAAATGTTGATATTTAAAAAAAAAAAAATTAAAAAATTAACGCATTTACCATCAAAATTCGTATAAAATTTAGATTTACGAATTGGCTATTTTAAATTTTCGGTATTTAACAATAAAAACAAAATATATGTATGTGGAGCTCAAATGTCTATTGTTCTTACACATAGGTATATTCTTATTATTTCTAGAAATTTCTTATCACCGATATTAATAGGCATATTTTAATAATTTTAGAAGTCAAATATATAAAATAATATACATATACCAATAATATGTTGGCTCCTTTCTTTCGTTTGTTTTTAAGGTTATTGGCTCTAGGATGTTTGTTGTCATAATAATATATGTATTGTACGCTCGAGTGATCTTATCTATGTAATTTGACTATTTAAGTACCTATATTATGTTTTCTAGTATATAACTTCTACATTTATAACTATTGTACATAACAAATCGTAGTTAAATAGTAGTTACAGTAATTATTTATTTTGTTTTTACTTTGTGGTCTACCTAAAAATATCATTATTTCCATATTTCCATGTATAAAATGTGCGAGTACATATTATTATAATTCATTATATAACACACACGCAAATATACGAAATATTATTGAAAAACAAATTAGATTAAATGTATGCCAAGGTCTCTTTATATCTTGCAAATTGTTCGTAAATTGTTCGTTTATGCAGTTTGATAATTTATATCATACCCATATGAATGTCTCTGTCTACGCTAAAATATTATAATTTTAAACGCAAAAATTATGTTTTTCTGCTGTACCTAATATTATATTCAAACGTTAACCTAAGTATTATATTAAATTATAAACACGTGTTTAACGTCGACATTTTAATGAAACATATATTGCATATTAGCTTGTCAGATAAAAGTACAGATTTAAATTTATTATTTGAAAAATATTAACCGATGAGCTATTATTTTGGATATCGTCAAATTTAAATTTAAATTGCTAAACGCTACTATATCGATAATCCTTTTAAAATAAAAATGTGGAATAAACTAAGCAAGGAGAATTATTTTTAATTAAGTCTGAAGGATGCCGATTATTGTATCGTATCGTGGTTTCATGATATTGTATTATACTATTATCCCATTAATGACTAATACATTTCAAACTTGAAAAATGTTGCGTTTTTTCCCCTATATTATGACTAAGTGTAGGTATACCTATAATACCTACGTAATTTAATATTATTACTTGTTGGAGATTTTACAAGATTCCAAGACTAATCGCATTTCCTGTCACTATATACATTACACTGGCTCTGAAGGTTGTGGCGTTTTCAACGAATCACACAATATAATAATATTATCACTTCTCAAATATACAGAGTGTAATAGAAAGACCTGACAAATAAAGATAAAAAAAATTGAGATTAAAGTTAAACGTATGAAAAAAAATATTATGTAAATTGTATGTATAGTAAATCATTTGAGAAATATAATACTTATTCCAAAAAGAATATTTTGAAAAAAGTTATTACGTTTTAAATTCTTCAAAAAAATATTAATGTTTAAATAAACTACTCGAGTTAAATAAACATTTTCACCAATAAAATTTTTTTTTTGAATTAGTTTTACCAATTGGCTATTTTGAATTTTTCAAAAAAAAAAGTAATTCAATTTAAAATTTAAAATTGTCAGTATTATAAAGTTAAAAAACCAAATTGTATGCTGTTTCTGTTTGTAGCGCCTCGAGTGTCTATAAATTTTATTTATAAAAAAAAAGAAAATGTTTAAATTTTAAAAGTTATTGAATTTGTCGAGGTCATACTGTTAAACCCTGTACACTTCACCCCGCGAGTCTCATAATGTGTGTTGGCAAGGTCGTCGCAGCAGCTTTAAACACCCGTTGGAAATATTATACATGCACAATGTCATTATCTTTCTTTTGCGGTCGAGCCGCATTATTATTATTATTATTATTATTATGTTTTATGGTCCAGTAAAACTAGCCAAGTAGCCACGATCATAATAATAATAGGTAGGTTAGTACTTATATTATATGTATATAATGTGTGTGTATGGGCACTTACCTATATTGTAATTATTCGTGTTTATTATCGTCGCGGTTGCACGGAGATGACGGATCGACTCTCATCGGCGGGATCGATCTTGGCCGTCCACCGCGATGTGAATCGGCAACATTTTTCACCAATCATCTCGAAATCGTAATGAAGAAACGCTAAAGTAAAAAGATAATATATAATATTATTATAACTGCAACCTTGACCCGGTTGCGCGCCCGGGTTTCTGCAATTACATCACACTGCGGCGGGCCGGTTACCGCGGTATAACACTCAATACCGGTTGGACAGTGGAACACTCGAGCACGGCCACAATAATAATGATGATAATATGACGTGTGTCGTGCTCGCTCGCTTATTATTGCTGCAGCATATTATCGTATAATAATATTATATAGGTACCTACCTATGTATAATACCTAATAAACGAGTGGCGACCGAGGGTTACAATTTCTTAGACTTTCCAAAAACAAACGAACTTGTCGCGACGAAAAGAGTGTACATATACATTATGGTAAGCGCCACCTTGAACCCGATAACCGCGGGCGGCGTGGATACTTGCATTGAAATTCGGAAATTTGTGAAATTTCGTCCTGAAATCGAATCGAGGAATACGAACAAATTATTTTTGTGCAATATTTCGTATTAAATTTAGCATTACCTATACTATATATGGGTAACGGATAATACTATTATACACTATTGATGGAAAAAATGAATATAATATATTATTGTTTATAATTCAATTATATTCCGACTATTTCAAAGCAATTATTATAATGATTATAGTTTTGCAAGTACAAATAAATGGAAGTGTTGGAAAGCAGACAGACGTTGCAATTCCAAGTGTCATTCTATAGTATAGGTAAATCACGTACAGTGTACAAATAAATAGGTAATGATAACATTCTAAATACCTGTTTTTCATATAATATCAAACAATAACTTATATTGTTTTATTTCGTATGGCTTTGTGTGATTATAATATCAGATTTATAATTACAATTTATTGTTTTAAAATATTCATAACACAATAAAATTATAATTATTAGTAATATAAATGTCACGACGCAAATAATTTGTTCGTACCCATTCGCGATTCAAATTCCCGGGGAAGGACAAAATTTCCCATGATATAATATTATAACAAGTTCAATTATATTACAGTGTCGATTGATTTGTCAAGTATATATTTGTGTGTATCGTGTGTGTAGGTTACGTATTTATATATATAATGACAATTTATTGTGAAGTTAGCTGATAAACTGCACATGCGCAGATGATTGTCCCACGAACTTTTGTGCTCGGAACTTGAACATTAAGCACATTGATATTTAATTTAATAAAAAAATAATAACAACAGACAATGCCGGAAACGTGATTTAGAAATGGTTAAATACTTATAATGGTTAATGCCATTGATTTCAAAACTTTCGAATTCAATGTTATGTTACATATTATGGTTGAAAATTAAAATATAATTTGAACTATGACCAGCTTACGACCTCTAATTCGTTTTGATTTAAACTAAAAGTTTTATTTTTTACTACCTATTTTTTATAATCAATGTGGAAACTTCTAAATAATTGTATACGAACAATATTAGTCCATCATGTTACAATATATTATTGCATTTATAATATTACAAAATACGATCGCGTTTATTCTTAAATATTGTATGTTCAATCAACATTCTACAATAATATTGTACTGCATCTATTTTATTTAGGTCCTCGTGCAAAGGTATGTTGCAGTGTATATAGGTTTGGTGTACCAAGTAGGTACCTACATTCATTTACATTATTAAAAAATTGAATGTCGATTAAATCTTTTTGCAACCTGAATTTTAAGTAACATTTTTAATGATTTGTATATATGAGCTTTCTAAAAATACGACCTCGACAATTAACGTTATTTTTATGCATCGAACGGAATTGGGTAAATCGTCGTCATACGCGTAGAAAAGAAATAAAATAGCAACTTTGTCGACGCCATGTGTACAGGGTGTCCCATAAAGTATGCTCTTTTTAAAAAATTAACAAAATTATAAAATTTTTAACGAAAATGCATTTATTTCTATTTATTTACATAATTGGGCCACGTCCCCGACTTAACGATTGAACAACGATATCCTGCACGAGAACAGTGGTGCATACAAGAAATTTAAAAATTCCACCTAATTCAAAAAGTGCATACTTCGCGGGATACCCTATGATGTTATAAATACTGGACAATAGTACAATAAAGAGTACCTATTTGTAATTATATTATAATAACTACGTTTTATCTCCTACCGCGAGACAATATCTTTGTTTTGTTACCTAATTCGCGCATCAATTAAAAATATTACAATCATTAATATCACTTTGTCTTTTTTTATTTTCCAGAATGATCTGACACCAAGCATGAACATGAAAGAGCCATGGCCGGCCATACAATCACGAGTTACCAAACATTGCTATACCTGTTCACGTTCGTCGCAATCGGTACGTGCGCTCGATCGTTCGGGTCGACTGCGGTGTTAATACCTATTTAATCATATCATATTATATCACTAATTATATAATTAAAATATACATTTTAATGATACATTGAGTTATGGGACTTGGTCTGTGCAGTGCCTACAACTGCAGCAGTGCAGCTGTATAATTATTGTGCACGATTATCATGTGGGCAACGATTCTATAACGAGTGTTCGATATATTATTTTAGTTTTGGTGGAGATGAAAATACGGATCCATAAGAGCCTGCTGTAAGACAGAGGAGGGGGGAAGAGAGGAGATGGACTAAAAAATATAAATCAACAAATCTCATCCTCACTCCTTAAATGTTAAAACGACAATATCGTCAACGGAAAAATAAGCAGTCGTTTCTCGTTACCATAAATAAAAAGACTTTAATGCACTAAATTATGCAGTAATGCATTTAAATATAATATTATATACTTATAAAATGCCCTATGAAACGTAAAAAGATGGTATAAAATATAAAATAAATAAAAAATAATACGTGTTAAACTATTAAAAACATAAACGCTAGTATAATATATAAAATAATAGTGTATACATAATTCAAATAAAAAAATATATAGGTACAGTGAATCCTCTAAAACTGCATAAACTCTCAGTCACTGAAATATTGTCCGTTTTTCGGAGGTGTCCGATATTAAAAGGAATCAGAGGGTCCAGATTGTAGAGAGTTTGCAGTTGGTTCCCAAGAAAACTTCCGGTATTGAGAGGTGTCCGTTAGGGGAGATTGCACTGTATTAAGTTATAAGATATAATCTGTGCAGTGCCTATATATAACTGCAGCTGTATAATGATTGTGTACGACCATCATATAATAGGCAACGATGTTATAGCGAGTTTCGATATATTTTAGCTTTGGTGGGGATGAAAATATAAGGCTTCATATGAGCCAGTTAGATGGGGGGAGGGGGGATCCCAAAAATAGAAATTGACAAAGTACATGTGTTAGAAATTCGAACTATTTGTTTTGGTTTTGATAAATCTATTAATTACGAAATGGAGTGTTCGATGACGAATAACGCCGCTGAAATAATCATATTACGTTCTGGAGGCCTTGGATTACAGCTGTTGGGCCCAACATTACCATAAATAAAAAGACTTTAACGCACTAAATTATGTAATAACACATTTTAATGTAATATGTTTATTAAAATGCCCTATTAAACGACAAAATATGGTGTGAAATATCAAATAAATAAATCCTAATAAAAGTTGAGATATTAAAAAAAATAATTATTTTTAAGCCAATGTATGAAATAATAATGTATAACTATAAAATTCAAATAAAAAATGATTTATTAAATTATAGAATAATTCAGCCTATAACTGTTATCAGTAAAATTATAGCCTCCCCCATTTCCCCCTTAAATCGAATGCATTTATTCAAATTATAAATTTTAGGATATATATTAAGTATATAGTTACTATTGAAGAGAATAAATACCGTATTTTGAAAAAACTGATATTTTTTGTCCCACTTAAGATATGTCCCGTAGTGATACAATCTTTATTATATTATAATATTGGATGTAGTAGGATATTAATAGAATTTATTATACTTGGACCATTTTTACAAATTATTTATATTAATTGATCTCTAGTAGGTATCTTATTAGTTATTATTGACATTTTCAAATCATCTAAGCCCCCCCCCCCATATCTACTTAATCCATTACCATGTACATATATTATCCTTAGTACACAAAGTTACATAACTCATAATCTACTGGTTCGAATTTTTATTTAGATATATCAAAATTCTCAATAAAAAATATCTGCTGAATAATTATTAAAAGTGAAAAAAGGTGCAGGTTCCTATTTGAAAAACAGGAGTTCGTATTGTCGTAGGATCATCATCCTTAAGTGGTACAAAAAATCTCAATCATTCGAAAATATAGTCTTCAAGTGTATTTAAAAATTCCAAAAATCAGAATTTGAATATAATAAGCACAAACATTATATAGGGCGAGCACGCTTAAATGTCACCTTTTGTATAATATGTTACCTACCTTATTATTGTGTCGTAAAGGTTACGAAATATATTTCCATACTTCACTGCCTGCACTTTTACTACCTACCGACATAATATGTATATCAAAGGAGACCGAACGTCTGTATAATAAGCATCATCCAGCCTAAATGTTATACATCGCAAGTACGTGACCTAACGTATCCGCTTTTCAGGCGAAATACTATGTCAGGGTAGAGACGCCCCTGCAGCGAGACTTCAGACGCCACTGCCGAAGGGGCGCGCCATACCTGTAGCCTCCGCCAACGGAGGTGCTAACGCCATTGGCCGCCCGACCAAGCAACAGCAGCAGGACGCCGTCCAGAAACAGACCACGCCGACTCCGCCGGTCTCGGTCAAAGAGCTGTTCAACTCTTCGTCGTGCGTCGAACCTCCGTTCACGTGCCCTCATCCGAAGATCCAGTTTTACTTGTACACCAGGTTAGTGTAGTTAAAATGCCATAAAATAATCTTACACACGCAGGTAGACAGTCTTGTTAAGTAGGTATTCGAATGTTTGTACTTAAACTAACTTTTCGACCGATGTATTTTAAATACTTAAAAAATACTTTTTATTTGTATTTTTATTCTAGAATACTAAATACTTTTTTTAATCCTCGTGGTCTACTCAAAATTCCAATTACTAATATTTCGGAATGAATACTATTTAAAGTTTTGTTTCTAAAATATTATTTTAAAATGTTTCTAACTTCTGATAACTTATAAATAAGATTTCGCCAAAATACAAGCAGATAACAGAATGACTAAACACTGAAACCCCCATCGGTTCCTCACTCCCATATTATACAGTGGCATACAAGACACTGACCACCACTGGTTGGATTGGAATTTATCTTGAATCTTTAAAATATAGTCTTTCTTCTTATTTAATGGGTGGTACTGTGGAAGTAGTTTATAATTTGAATATAAGATATTGGTATTAATGTTATTAAAGTTTTTTTTTTCATATTTATTTTAATTTGTACAATCTGTATAAAATATTTTTACAATAAGCACGATAGACGGAGGGATACATAAGAGGATTTGGTTGGCTTGATTAAAGAAACTATTCAATAATAGTACTTCATGGCGTGGGTAGTAGTGGTTAGTCGACTTGTTTTTGAATTGATTGAATTATTGATTGTTAATTATTCATTTATTGAACTTATAAAAAAGTATTTGTGTGGATATTTTGAATACTTTTAAAAGGTATTTATGTATTTATAATTAAATACTTTTAAAAGAAAGTATTTTAATACGTATTCTGAATACATTTGAAAAGTATTCTTAACAAGACTGCAGGTAGAACTGACAGCTGACGTAATGTAACTGCTGACAAACCGTGTAGGAATATCAAAAAAAAATTAACTAAAAAGTACCTATTGATTAGGAAAAAAAAGTATACGACATACCGAGTTATACAGTTATACAGTATAGTATATATAGTTATTAAAATTACATATTTAATTAGTTCTTTCTGCTGTGTGTGTGAATTATTTTTATATCGAAACCTGACGGACGACAGGATTTTTTTCTTTCGTTTTTTTCCTATTTCCCGTAATACAAGTAAGTACAAAAAATGATATTAAAAATATGCTTCAAATCGTTAATATACGCTACGTGATGCGGAACTGCTTCAAAACGATCTCAATCGGTTTTATGACTGCAAATTGCAGTGAATAAAACGTATAAGACTTGACTACTCGTATGTATGAAATGTATTGTCATTTGTATGATGCAGGTCTCTGCAAAAGTCCAAAATTGTACACACCTACTAAATTGATCCTTGTTGAGCATGCCCTATACAACAAACTATCAGCCTCCCCAAAAAAGCAAAATCCTAGAAACACCCCTTAAATATATGTATATTGAATCGATATTTGATTCCTATATAGTATATATACGGTTAATTATGGCACAAGTTAAATTTACAACGTCAGATTCATTCAAACTATATACCAGCTTATTTGGTATGATTTAAAATGTGAACTCAAAGAAGAAAAATTGTACATGTAATATTATATGGTAGAAGGACGAAGTTAAATTCATAAAACAAATAAAATTTTCAAATCTCAACCTTTTTATGTTAAAATTATAATCAACATTGTTTATTATTTTATCATCTAACATATGTTTTTGAATAATAATAATAACAAAATGTAACTATCAAAATAAAAGAACCTGTCAATCTTAAGTGGAATATTGGTCGATCGTATTAAAAATGAATATTATACAAATATCCGTTTATTACGTTCGTAATCTTAAATTTTAAAACTTAAAACACTTCTACGCATTCTATTATACAAAGTAAAGTATCTATTTATCAGTGAAGAAAAATATATAATACTCCGATGGAGAAGTAATATAAAAGAAGCACATTATACTATACAATTAATTATTATTCTGCGTGTAATAATATAAATAATATATTATACCTAAAGAAATAGTGGTCGATCACTAGACATAATTATTATTTAATGTTTAAAATTTTTAATAAATCTCACTTGTTGGAAAAGATTGGGGTGACCCATGTTTTATACCTAGCTCGTCAATATTCGGAAAAAGGTTACCATTTAAAATTATGAACAACTTATTTTTATACATTTAACTATAGTAAACGGGACAGTGCCATTTTACCGCACTCGGCTTGCTCCATTGCACCTCTTGAAAACTGTACCAATTTTGAGTACGACTTAAAAAAAACTTCGTTTAAACGTTTATGAAAACAACCGTCTGTATTATATGTTGATCACGAACTGATCAATGTCAATATGCATACAAACAAATGTGTTGATATATTAAATAACTATTTTGCCTCTGTGGGTGAAAAAATTGCAGGACAAATCCAAAGTGATAATGAATTACCTGCCAAAATTAATCCTGCAATTGAGAATATTGAGAATAGTTATGATTTAAATAAAAATAACTTAGATAATATAAATTTTACGGAGGAAGATATACTATCGATTATTAAAACATTAAGAAAGTGAGCGTCAACTGGTTTCGACAACATTTCTTCAAATACATTACTTCATATATAGAAAACCATGTTATTTATCCGATTACTCATTTAATTAATTTTAGTTTCTCAAAAGGAATATTTCCACAAATATACAAAAATTCTATGATTATTCCAATTTATAAATCAGGAAATGCGAGAGAATTACAAAATTATCGACAAAACTCACTGGTATCTCCAATTGCAAAAATCAAAGAAAAATGTGCGAATATTCAACTGCACAGATTTATTATAGATAAAAAAGCTATAAGTGTCAATGTCCAGATGCAATTGGGTTTTTAAGTAATTTAATTTATAAGTCTTTAGATAGAGGTAAAAAATGCTTGTGTATATTTTTGAATATAGCTAAAGCTTTCGACTCTATATCTCATGACCTACTTTTACGTAAACTAAAAATAATAATTGGTAACAACACGTTCTGGTGTTTGTTCAAATCTTATCTTCTAAATAGACCCCGAACAACTAAAATAAATGATATATACTATAAGTGATTCGTGTACTGAAAAATATGGCATCCATCAAGTACAGTGTTAGGACCTATATTATTTTCAATATATGTAAATGAATTATTAAATCTAGATATAGATGGTAAAATACTTGCATTTTCTGATGACACTGTACTGTTTTTCGAAGGCGATAGTTGGACTGAGGTAGGAAAAAGTGTTAATAAAGGCCTAACAGTGGCTAGTAAATGGTATACTAGAAGTAGTTTAATGCTTAATAAAAAAAAATCCGTTTTTATTCCTCTTGCCTTTATCGAGACAGAAGCTCACCTGATCAAGTCACAATCATATTATATAACAAAAAATGTAAGAATATAAATATATTTAAAGAATGTAATAAAAACTGTTATTGTATTTCCAGAGTAAGTTCAACCAAATATCTAGGTGTCATTTTTGATGAAAAATTAAAATGGAAATCTCATATAGATGTGCTAATAATGCTTTTAAGAGTGTTTTTATATATTTAAAGAACTACGTAATATCTTAAATATCTCAAGTCTGAAAATGGTTTATTTTTCCTTAGTTCAGTCTGTCCTAATATATGGCATACTAGTATTGGGCTCTGCCTATAAAAATGTTCTGGAGCCACTTAATGTAACACATAGAACCCTAATAAGAATAATAATGTCAAATGTTGAAAACTCTAAAAATAACACTAGTTATCTGTTCCATAAATTCAATATATTAACGTTGGAGCAATTATACAATAAGGCATCAATTTTAAAAATATATATGAACAAAGTAGATTTTTAACCCTATAACCTATATAAAACAAGAGGGATGTGTAATGGGAACTTAGAATTATTCAAACTTAATACATCCTTGACGGGTTATTATTACATAAACAGAGGGATAAAGCTATTTAATCGCCTACCTTTAAATATCAAATTGATTGAAAACGGTATAAAATTCAAAGTAATGATGAAAAAAATGATAACCTTTTCAAAATCTCTTTTAATATCCGTCTTTATATTTCTATTAGTTATACCTTGTATTATTATTTGAACTAGTTATTGTATTTTATTTATGTTCATTTTTTCCTAATGCTGCTGTAAAAATGTGTATATTTAATTAATACTGTAGCAGACTCCCTACTCTCATCACAAGCTATTGCTTATAGAGAGTAGGTATCAACTTAATGTATACGTTTTAAATTGTAATTTTTTATGTGAAGAAGTTGAAATAAATGTATTATTATTATTATTATCTCTGATTTCTTTTTAAAAATTCATCTCATTTACCTACGAAAAATATTCAAAACAAGTTTTATTTATAATCGTATATGTCATGCTTGACGTTGTAGGTAATCGGTTGTCCATCTACTATCCCATATTTATTTATATTTACACCATGTACCCCTCTACCCCGTCATGCCTTCCAAACTATATCATTTCAACTCACGGAATTCCGAATAAACACTGTTTGAAAAAAAGAGTAAAACCCTCAGAATTATAGCAGCTATGATTTCATTACGATGGTCGTCGTGCGATTATGACTATGCATAATATTATATATATATATCATAAATAAATACACGGCGTAGCTCGCGTAGGTCGTATTACGATAATAAAATATATTTTATTATTACACTTTCTCTCGTTTCGTGCAGGCTTTCGTTTACGCCGAAATAACCATAATAATATATTATTTAACCGCTCGTTGTTTCAGGCTCACTCAGAACAATCCCGACTTGATGGACGTGACCGACCCGGAATCGCTGTACAAGTCACATTTCAACCCCAAACATCCGGTCAAGATTATCATACACGGATTCCAAGGAGGCCGAAACCTGTCGCCGAGTACCGATCTCCGGAACGGTAAGTCCGTTGCAGCGACGTTATATGGGCGATTGTAAACTCTTCCGATGGTTAACTCTCCCGGATCTATTCTTCATGAACTACCATGATGGGTGTCTCGGGTAGTGGGTCCATTGGGTGGAGGGTAAATGTAAACAGCTCTCCCGAGTCTGTAATAACCTCGTTTACAAGGCTGGGCAAGTTAACGATTTTTTCACTTGTAAGGTTAAGTTAAAAGTTACTCGTATTTTTTTCGTTAAATCGTTAAGTTAAAAGTTAACTCTGAAAAAAAATAACTTAACTTAGTGTAAAGTTAAAATTAGCTGACTCGCAAAATTAACATTCCAGACACATAATATGGTTTATTGGATAGTTTTTCTTTACACTCAAGAAAATCACTGGGGAAATTTAAAATGATACATCTAAGTAAAAACCTCGTTTAAAAATTTGCATTATTCTTCGGATTAACTTGATTTAGATACTTTTGAAATAAAATGTACTTGAAGTTAACACGTTAATCTTGATAAAGTAACTTATTAAGTTAAAAGTTATTTTGAAATAAAGTAATGAGTTAATTAAATCAATTCAAATTAACTTAACGTTTTAGCTTAATTTTAACTTTTAATACGTTAATGCCCAGCCTTGCTTGTTAACACTTTTTATAATGTAATGTTTATGATAATACGAAGAAAACAATTTAATATACGCTTGAACCTCATTTCAAAAATTAAATTATTCAAACTATTGGTAAAATATAACAAAAATAATAATAATTTAAATCAATTTCAAATTAAATCGACATTTTAATTTAATTTTTATGAGTATACATGAATATGTGCAGATTTTAATTTTGGTCAGTATTATCTATAACTTTTGGAGTTTAAATTTTAAAACAACTAGGGAGCTCTTACATATCAGCTTGGGAAAGTTTAGTAGTTTTAAAAATTGGAAGAGTTTACTATCGCCCGATGTTATGAATATCCAACGATATTATGTCACATTCAATCGACGATTAAAGTTATCACTATACAGAGGTTCCGTATTTAATTTTAAAACGAAACATTTTTTTTTTTTAATAAATAAAATATATATCCGTTGAATTGTTCAATAGGTACTTAAGGTATACGAAAACTAGTTAATGAAATTAATATTGTAATAACATACTTGCAATGATTTATTTCGTTTGGCTTTATTTTTTATCGACTGTGAAATATATTTTTTATTTGATTATATTATTATATTATATTGAGGAATTCGACGAGTGTATTCTTTGGATTTCATGAATTTTAAACAATGATATTATACAGAGTGATTCGCCAAAAACATTCTTTTTTAACCGTTTTTTTCTTTGGTAATTAATTAATTAAAATTCTTGTTTTTGGTACTCTTAAGTATACTTGAGTACCACATTTTAAATTTAAAATACTTAAATTTTTATGACATTTAAGGATTGATCAGGTTTGACCTATGTCAAGACAAAATTGTTTTATTCAAATGAGAACTACCTTTTTTTACTGTGTATAATGTTAATCAGATTACTTATTTATTTTTTTGTTGTGGGTGAAAATACTTAAATCAAAATTCAAACGCATAGTTTCTAAACTATTAGACTTTATGTACATTATACCGACTACCGACTAGTAGGTAAGAATATTACTATAATAATCCCAAAATATACGATTATTTGAAAATTCTATTAATTGATATTTGATGTTACTAAATAATAAGCATTATATGTTTGTAAAAATTGTCTAAGGAGAACAAGTAGGAACCTAGTACTAAAATGAATACAACTTCTAATTTATATGGTACAACTATTATCGAGGATTATATCCTCAGTACATAAAGTTTAAAAACCGACATTTAAATTTCGATTTAGATGCACCAACATTTTCAAAAAAGTCGCGTGCTTAACAATTTACTGTAAAAAAATGGTGATAGGTAAGAACTCGTTTGAACAGTTTTTATCACGAAAATCTGCAGAACTTTAATAAATACAAATCATCTAAGTAGGTATTAAAGGAGCATATTATTATGCTTGATTATAGTCAAGTCATAAAATCCTCGTACTTACATTTCAATAATCTGTGAATCACGTCGACGTCCTCGAATTTTTTTTTTTTTATTAAACATTTTGTCGTGTGTTGCAGCTTATTTCACTAGGGGAAACTACAATATAATCATAGTGGACTACTCGAGTTTGGCTCAGATACCTTGTCTGAACCAAGTGGAATGGGCGCCTAGATTCTGTGCCATGTGCATCGCTCAACTGGCCAACTACCTGGCCGACCATCCCCGAGGAGTTCCGCCCGACAAGCTGCACATGATGGGGTAACGTATATAGTTCACCATAGCCAATATAGTTATACGATAATGCAATATGCATACAGGGTGCGCCGAGTTTTTCCGTTTTCCTGTGTTTTCATATGTGTGGAAAATCACGACGACTGCACCCTGTATCTGAGGAGGTTCTAAAAGGTGGGGGGAGGGAAACCAGTGAGACCCCTCCGCCCCTCCCTTGGCGGCTGTGTTTATGTGTAAATAATATGTATAGACAGATACAATTCTCTACAATGTGTCCCAGCGGGAAATGACCAACCGGCGTCTGGTTATTGATTTAAACATTTTAAACAATACAAATTGTCTACAATTTATTTTTACTTTTTTAAATTTAATAAAAACAATTTATTGATGTTGATTGACAGCACACCGAAATAGCTTTAAAAAAAAATTACGATAAAAAGTTGAAGAGTTTTGAAGATACGTCTGTTAGATTCAAAATAATCATATTGTTAAAAAAAGTTAAATTGCCCGTAACTAAAAAAATATAAGAGTTTGACTCCCCCCTCCCTTCAAACGGTTTTTTCATAACTCAAGTCTTAAGGTATACTATCGTATGAAGCCGGGCCGGTCACTAACCCCCGGGACAAGTTGTATAATAATGGTCATCATAATATTGGTCATCTGCAAAACATATTGGTAACATTTATTATAAATATATAATATAATCGTATTTCGTATATACAAAGTGTAGTTACTCGAAGTCTACAGCATTTCAAAAAATTACTTCTCGTGTAGGAACTTATCAAAGGGAAAAAAGAAGTGATGGGTGTAGAATATACGTAGGGGAAGGCGGGGTAAGTTCGTACGAGAGGCATAGCCGTATGATAAGGTTATTTGAACAATGAGTCAAGATAGAAAAAAAATTATTGATTTCTTATTTTCAATCATTCTTGTTATCACAAAATATGCATACCTAATCACTATTTTTTTTTCATATATTGTTATTAAAAACTTTTATACTTGTATTTGTTTGATGTGAAAAAAACTGCATAAAATTATGGAAAAGTAAATATAGATTATTGAATGATATCATTTGGAGGAATGTTGCTTATACTTTTTAGTTAATTCCTGTTAATTTGAAGCCACCTACTGTGGGGCAAAATGCAAAACCATATTAAATGTTTGTATGGTGATATTAGAATTTCACGGAAACAAGCTTCAAAAATATTGGAATCTGAAATATACCGAAAGACTATTTGATATTAAGGGGAGTATGTAAGCTATAGCTTAGGTATGATTGTGTGAACTCATCCAACTCCCCTCTTGTACCAGACCTCGAAGTGATAACCCCTACCCCCCTGACGTTTTGGTAGACTAGTTCCATCCATGACTTCTATTTTAGATCATAAAACCATCTATACGGTTTTGCCCCAAAACTAATAAGGGTTTATCCCACCTATGGGGCAAAATCGTATGTTTAGGTACTACCAACATTTTGGTATCCAGGATTTTTTTTGAGTTCAAGTTAAGATTTTTTAAAAATGCTTCAATAGTATTGAAGCTGACAATATTTGTGATATATTTACGCAATTCAATTTCAAATTTTTCAAATTTTGTAAGTTCTACAATGCCTGGAAGTTAATAGTACGGTTCTGCCCCGCCTTCCCCTATGTAAAATAACCTCTCTCTTGAGATTTTTCAAGAACCACCGCTCTCCTGTAAATCTTATTTGTCAAATAAAATTGGACGGGAAGCGAGTATAAGTAGAAATTAACCACTTTTCGGGAAACAATAATATGCGATCATACAGCGTATAATAACTACCTAACTACCTAATGAACAAGTCAAACTGTCGTTCCATGTATTGTACAAACATACTTTGAAGGTATATCATTAAGCCCAGTATTATAATTTATAATGATTATCACGTGACTTTAGGTCGCGCAGAGTCGATTAAACTTGGGAATAGTCCTGACTATAGGTGCAGGTCGGCTTAACGTAAGTTACTCATTATTTCTAAAACGATTTATTTCAAATATTACCCTTACGAAATTTAAAGTCATTGAAACGCAACAATTATTAAAAAAAATTATTTTTTGCTATATCGTTATGATTTTTTAACTGTCTTACAAGTGACAACGTACGTTTTTAATTTCATATTCCGATGCAGAATATTTTTACGAGTACCTTAGAAATCGAATTCAGAACGGGCAGTTAATTAATTATAAATATTAAAATCTTAGGTGAGCGGAGTAGTGGCTCATCATAACTTTAAACGCTATTATAACTATAGATAGGTAATTCTGTCTACTCAAAATTCGAAAATATGAAAAATATTCTACACCCGACTATGGAAATAAAAATGTTTGTCGTCATTCAAAAAAGTAAAAACTAACAAATCGTAACGATAAAAAGTGGGGAAAACAAAAGTTTTTTCATAACTGTCATTTATGATGATTACTACAAATTATGTGGAAAAAAAATATCTTTAGAAATGTTGAGTGTCTTGCGTTAAATTACCTTGGTTTGTTTTGTTTTCCACAACTAATTTAGGATGAGAAATAATACGTTTGAATTTAGTTGTAAGAACCAAGTGAATATCATTTGTCTAAGAGGTAATAGATAGTCAAAATATAGTAAAAATCTACTTAATTATCTCCTTTCACCGGCACACCGTCCGACGTCCAAAGTTGTGTTGTATTCGAAAACCGGAACGTCCAATTAGGTTTTGGAATATAATCACTGGCCCCGCAGAGGGACGTTCTGTTGTTGTAAGTAATCTATTACAAAATAAAACGTAGAAACAATTTAATATTTTAAAACCAAATTAGCATAATATTATAATGGACGTATAACAATAACGGAATGTTGTATCAGAATGGATAGTTCATTATTTTTTACATACCTATCTATACTCAATTTGTCGTAAATAATAACTATACTCAGTTTCTTGCACTTTAAGTCTTTCTGCGTAAATCCACTCGTAGTCATCATTATTACTAGGTATATATTTTGATAAACAGCAAACCGTATTTAAAATCATAATATTTGTGCATAATATATGATGACGGTATTGCAAAATTGTAATATTTTTTAAACCAAATGTACTTTTTAACAATAGTCATAATATGAAACATTATACCACATTTATTATACCAGATCACAGTAATAATAATACGTATAATGTAGGTATGCGTATGGTAACACAATATATTGTCTAATTTATTTAAGAGCCACAAAAGCCATTTCTAATATTAGGCAAGACCTCCAAAGGTCAAAATTACTATAGGTACAATACTACCAAACACGTATTTTAGGGGGAATAGAAGGGTGACAGGGTGCCAAATTGTTTACTCAATTTAGGGGTGATAAATTTATATTGGTATATTATCACTGTGTATTAATTGTATAAAAAACATATATTTATTATATTTTAACCTTCTGTTAAAAATAATTATTACAACTGAATGTGTAGGTATCGTTTTCGTAAATTTGTCGGAAAACAGTATTAATACTTAATGACTTATGTATTATGAATTATGATCATAAAAAAGTAACAAAATGTAACATGTACAAACATTTCTTTATAAGCATTAAATGGTTTTTTTCTTAATGTAAAAAATTGTCATTGAAAGAATCGAGTAGTTATGATTACATATAGGTACTTGGCATTAAACATTATAATTATGTAAACTGAAAAAAAATTTATTATTTATTATTATTTCATTTTTTTCTGATCTTAATTTTATTAATAATAATCTAGACAGGTACATTTAAAACTTTCACCTAGAACGGAGATTTGTAAATAAAATTACCATTTCTTCAAAATCGATTTTACTGGTTATTTCTGATTTAATTTTCAATAATGCCAACGCAGAACTTCTTTCTCGGTTCATAGTTGTTGACCTTACACAAGGTTATAATAATAACAATAATTAAATTAATACATTTTTTTTTTATTTATTTTTACAATTAATACTGCACAATATAATATTATGTCAATATAAATTTATCGTCCCCTAAATGGCCTGAACAATTTGCCGCCCTGGGCAACAAGGTACACTTGCCCCCCCCCCCCCCATAAATACATTGCTGGATTCCAATGAATTTAATGGGTATGGACAAGCCTGATGGTCGCACAAGGCTTAAATATTGTTTCACGCATATAATTTTACACTTGTCGTGCAATTCGGTGACTTGTTTTGAAATGAACAATTATTGTTATTTTTTATTGTACGTTTGTCCAATATAAAACAGGTTTCATATAAAGAATCACATAGTCAGATTAATTTTAAGCAATGTGTTACCTATTGATACAAACTCGACCTTTCTCTGGATTAAGTTTTATAAAATGCTATACATTGAATTCAACATACACAACTATTATCTATAATTTTGCTTATTATTTATTATATAGCAAGAACTTTTAATGCAATGACGCGTTGACGCGTGTCGTGAATGGATTCAATTGTAATCTTAAAAATTCAATAATTTCACGAATAATATACAGGGTGAAGCAGAAACACAATCAATATAATCTATAATAAAACTATTTTAATAATATCTTTTTGTAGAAGTCCAATCAGAAAATGTATTTCCGATATTCCATTTTTTTTATCATAATATATTTAAAATTTAAATATCATATAATATAAATTATGACTATTCATAATATTATAAATTTGTATTAATTTGTTACTGAATTGGTAAATTAAAAAGCTGAATTCAAATTTCTATAACAAAGTACTAGTGTTTGTGGGGAGGAGTGCGCGACCGAGGTGCTTATTTTAAAGGTAAACACTTATTTTCTCGAGGAGTTTAAAAGATTTTATTAGTATTTCTATTCGATAATTTTAAATCATTACAAAATAACATTTCTGAAATAATTATTTTAGTATTTTTTAAGATTTTTACTTTTTAAATTTTCAATATGTGCACTTATTATTGTAATATAAGAGTAGTTAATTATTCATCAGTAATATTTTAGACATGTAGAGTAATCGTCCAACATTTTATTGCGTAATAGGTACATACCTATATATAATATGGTATATACCTACTTACCTATATTACAATGTTTTTTCAAACATGTGTGTTCTTTTGTAATGTCTTAAAAATATGGTATGTTAGAAAATATTTCCAAAAACAATCATAGGTACTTTTCGAAATAATGACTATTTACTATTTGATGTGTCACGAGTCTGGATAAAGAAACGAACATTTTTAAAAAATGATTACCCATATGTCTGCTGTAGTGGATGGAAATTTTTGGACTCTGGGACCGCATTCAAAAATTAAAAATGATTCCTGGCCGCAGTGTCGCACCAAAATTGAAATCTTTCAGTCTCAATTTAAAAAATAATGGAATAGTCGCGTGGGCCACCGGTCGGGTGATCGCTGCAGGTCTATAATAATTATATAGTAAACTATTTGCGACGACCATTACAGAGCTGACCAAAAAAAAAAAATGTATATACGATATGAAACACACACACACACATTGATTATATCTTAATTATTATTATCTTAATAATATAGTTGTATTTAAGAGGACGTTATACCCGCACGTGTTGTCTCCGTCTTTCAAGTGCGTAACATAGCAAATTCTACTCAAAGCATAACACGTGTAGCTCCGTTAGTATAAAAATTAAAGTGAATTGACTTCTTCTAAAATCTAAAGGTAAGACTATTATCTAGACAACCGCATGGGCTTTTTATTATATTTTAATTTTTAAGCGAGCTATGAGTATTTTAAAGTTGTAAATGGTTTATAGATTTTAAAGTACTCTTAACCAGATTAAAAATTTAAATATTATAAAAAGCCCATGAGGTTGTCTAGATAATAAAACCTAACCTAACCTTGATGTTATGCACTTGTAAGACGGAGACAACACATCCGGGTATCAGGTCCTCTTAATGCTATGACGCTTTACCCGTATTTATGTTTTTTGTCAAACTAATATAAGTATTTAATTATTTTGCGTACTGGTTGCCATCGGTCGTGTGTATTTCGAATAAATAAATTATACAATATAATAGTAACAATTATTGATTATAATTCAGGTACAGCGTGGGCGCTCACATCGCAGGCCTGGCGTCCAACTTCATCAACTCGGGAAAAATCGGACGGATCACCGGATTGGACCCGACGATCATATTCTACATGAGCAACAACCGATCCAGGGACCTCGATCCCACGGACGCTCATTTCGTGGACATCATACACACGGCGGCGGGTATCCTGGGTCAGTGGGGCCCTAGCGGACACGCCGATTTCTACGTGAACGGCGGCACTTCGCAGCCCGGCTGCGCCAGCGACAGCATCATTCGTGAGTATACCGAGCATAATTAGAAAAAAATATTTTAAAATATCATTTTTCAATGAAAACTTTGTTTTGTAAACGACTTGAAACTATGTAAAATAATATTTTCAAAAACATTTACACTTCTTGAAATAATGAGTGTTCAATGATTAAAGAATCGCCCTGTCTGTATTCCAACGTTTAATTATAATTATACATAGTCGTAAATGATCCGAAAGACAAATATTTTACAATAAAAATATCACAGGAGAAATGGAGAATACAGGAAGACGACTTTTGGATTTAGTTCCTTAAACGAAACACGCATAAATCATAGGCGTGCGCAGACTTTTTTCGCAGGTTATACCGGTATTTTTAAACATACCTAGCTCAATACAAAAAAAAACTCCCCAAAAACTCTCAATAGGTACAAATAACTTATGATATAATGCGAAAAGAAATTAACATGCATTTTATTTAGCTTATTTATTGGTTTTAGATATTTTAATTTGAAAAGCTTGTATTTACTGTGATTATATTATTCCAATAAAGTAACAATATAAAAAAATTCAGACATTTGATCATATTATAATAATATTATAATGACAAAAAAATGATAATCTAATTAATCGAAATTCTTTTATTTTTGATAGTTATAGCCCAGGGGTGGCCAAATCACGGCTCGCGAGCCGCATGCGGCTCTCGTCACAGTCGTATGCGGCCAGCGGTCTTATTTACAATAACCAAAATATTTTAATTTTTTTTGTATACATTTATAAAAAAAAAATGTTTTTATTGTATTTATTTAAGGCTATAGTATTATAGTGTATAGAATATAGATTAAATCAAACAAAAAAAAATTAATTAATGTGAATAATGAATAATAAATAAAAAAATTAAACATTAAGCTAATTTTGTTTGCGTGGTACTTTTTTCGTGTCTACTTTTTTAGTAAGCTTCTTAAGATCTGGTTGAATTGATGTAAGAGCAGTTCTTAGTAATTCTGTAAGATGATCATCAGTCAAATTTGAACGATATTTTGACTTAATTATTTTCATTGTTGAATAAAGTGATTCACATGAATACGTCGTTCCAAAAATTGATATCAATTTTACCTCACAGTTTTTAATATTTGGGTATTTTAATATAGAAATATGCTTCCAAAATTCCAATATAAAGATACAATTGTTTATAAACTGACCTTCTAATAACTCCGAGAGTTCTATTTCGAGATCCGCTTTATTTGTGACGATAGGATGTGATAATGGACATCCCTTTTCAATGACATTAACTAAAAATGGATTTTCTAAAAATCCGAATGAGGGTTTTAATGTCTTTAGGTCTCCAAATCGTTCTTCGAAGTCGGTAAATAGAAATTCAAGTTTAAGTACATAGTCGTCACAATTCATTTTTATTTCTGATTCTATCAAGCACGCTTCTATTTTTTTTTAAACATGAAAAGTGAGTAAAATTGTTTGATTGTAAATCTCTTATAAAAAGTTTTAGTTTATTTTGAAAACCGATAGGAAATTCTCGACTAAATGTGCTGTGATTGGTCCTTAAACTGTGATAATGTAACTTGACATATTACTATATGAGACAAAATGGTTTATCATTTTTCTGTATGAAAAAGTATAGTTCTTCCCATTCTAATTTAAATTCCCGTTTTTCTTCTTCATATTTACGTTTAACCGCTTTTTTAGAAATTGACATCGTAACTAACTTTCGCAATAAGTATCGGTAAAATATTACAAATATAATTATTAAATATTACAAATATTTTACAAAACAAATTGAGGTGTTTACAATAAGACTATTCAACACAGACTACAGACTATATTAAAAACGATATAATTTCATATTTCGAAATTTAATATGTTTATCGGCTGTTTGCTATATTTATTACTTTTATGGTATAGAAGTACACATTAGATAATTTGGCTCTTGATAAAATTTTATTAACACATGTGGCTCACGTACATAGTCATGTTGGCCACCCCTGTTATAGCCTATAACTATAGGTAGTATGAAAATAAGCAATACCGCAGGGGCCTGAATGTTCTTGTGATAAAACCTCCAATTCTCACCAAAATGGTGGATTTTGATTTCAACTATATTAATATGAGTTAGCAATCTATTTTATTATTTATATAGATACGTGTGGTGATTATGAAATCTTATTAGTATTTGATTTCGTCTCAACTCCCAATATTTTATTATAAGAAAATTATATAAAAATAATCAAAACATTTAAATTCTTGAACTAAGATACTATGAACTATCTTAGTTCATGATTTTAATTTATAATCAAATCATTTACAACTAAAAACTATATGGTTATGATAACTCTGCAGGGGATGCCATGGCATACCTGGCACCTCCTCTGCTCATGCCTATGACATAAATATAATTCAAGTTATACGCTTAAAAGTTAAATGTCAGTGGTCAGTGTAGAGATGGGATTTTAAATAATAATACTTAATTATAATAATTATTTAAAATGCAAAGTACTCTCTCGTTCTTTACTAACTTTTTTTAGGTATTTCCCCGATAGGTACACACATCACTTTAACGTTAGTACAATAATAGTATATTGACGTGTTAAAAGAACAAAAAGTTCGTCGAAAGTAAATTAAAATACAACCCAGTCTTGTCCAGTACCTGTTAATAACTATCTATCCTTCCCCCTCCCCCAAAAAAATTTAACCTTATGTAATTTATAGTTACTAACTTACTTAGTTAAACTTGATTTTAGTTATTAACTCGTTAACCTAACCAGACTTGGTAAAGTGTGTTTTCCTCGTTACCTATTTATTAGGAAGTTGTATAATATATTTTGACCGTTTATTGCAAATAATACGCTATACATATAAGTACTGCAGTTTCAGCAGAATCTTCAATCGACGTTTGTGACGTGTATACAACATAATACATCATAAATATGCGGAAATAATTTTATATTTATGCAAATTATGCATTTTGTGTACAGTCGTCGTTTTGTTCTAAATACTGCAACAGTATAATAGGTACTTACTTATATACCACGTGTGTTTGCAGTCAAATATACCTTCCTAATCAACAGGTGACTAGGAAAACACATATTATTTAGGTTAATACGACGACTGTATATCTGTATGAAACGCATAATTTGCACATAAATATAAAATTATATCAACATAGGTATTTCTGATATAATAATATTATGTATATACGAACGTCATGTAGATTGAAGATCCTGCTGAAACCCCGAGGCTGGACTCGAACAATAGTAAATTCGTAATATTTTTTCTATGTACGTGTTATTACGCCATAATATTGAACACCGAGGACTCAACCGTTAAGACGAGCCATCAGCAATATTCTAACCAGTTATAAATAAATGATAAATTGACTTGCCCAGCCTTGCCGAAAAGACACTTATAATTATTCAGCATTAGGTAACTTATTATAGATCGTTGTCGTCCTTCTCCGACGTTTCCGCTGTGCATCACATTTGACTAAATACTTGTCCGACTCGATGTCATACCATACTACTACTACTAATTTCAACGATTTAAACTTAAACACTTACCGGTAAAAAAAACATAATTAATAGTCAAATAATTATTCACACGGATGTTAATAAATCGATTTCCAACAACTACAATGAAAGCCAATCGACACGGGTTTAATTTTAATGCAAAATACATTGGTGACTAGGAAATATTTCTGCTCGGATAGAGAATAACGTCCGCGTTTAAATTAATAATATATTATAATATTTATTACAACAATAATTGATCATAGTACCTAACTATTTATTTTTACCATATATTTCCTGTTTATAATTTAAGCAAAAACACTTTTTTTTTTTTATTTATTTATTATATACCTAATATAACAGAGTTTAACGACTATAATATAAGCGATAATAATAACTATATAATATAATATGAGTGATATAAAACGCGTAATCGAGTCATTATAGTAATTAAAATAATCACCACTATTCATAGGCTATTATTATGATAGCTTTTCTAGGTCACTTTGTACGGTCGAACATTAAAAGTGCGAAACGCGGACACTTTGTATACGTCAGGTAAAACTTTAGATTGTAGGAAGCGGACACTATTTGTACTACCTACATAAAGTATAGGTATTAGGTATATGATATAAAAAGCGGGTAAGTGTATGTCGCTCTGCTGTACAATAGGTTACAAGTGCAGGGTCATTGTATAATGGATTGTATTAAACTTGAATTCAAGGATATAATATCATTGTATAAGAAAAACGATTCTGAGCGGAGACAGTTTGTCAGTCTGGATATTTTATATTGTTATTATTTATTATATTATGTACCTAAGTCGAATTAATATTATAATACTAACTGATCCCGTGGACTTCGTTACCCGTTAAATGTACCAAATCTATATGACCCAAACTTTGTTCAATTCGTTATTTAATATTCAGTGTATGGTGTTCAAAATATATCTTAACTTTTCCGTTGCCCGGAATAATAATAATAATTCTGATTCGCAGCAGTATGCAGACAGTATTATCAGATAGTCAATCTACTATTTTAATTATAAAAATTGGCATAAAAAAAAGTTATTATAAATCATAAATGGAAAACGGGTCGGGTTTTTTTTTTAAATTTTATATTATGCATAGTAAATTATTCAAAGAATTTTTGTCATGGAATACCGGAACCGTTTGTGAATATTTACGTGTTCGTGAAACCTTTTTCGACGGGAGTCGTTAGGGTTGCACCGAAAATTATTCCTTACTATAACATTATGCGCCTACCTACGTAATAATATACAGTAAAACCTCCTTATAACGGAATCTCTCGATACCAAATGATTTTTCTGTCTTATAAGGGGGTCCGTTATTAGGAGGTCTTACTGTGTTTTGTAAATTTATTCGTACCCATAATATGATACTAACTGCGTAGTGTACGCAGGATTTTAGTTCGGTTAGGGTTTTACCTGAATAAATAATTTACATTATTTTTTTCTAAACAGTTTTTATATAATTGATTATAACAAATCATAGTTAGTCTCAAATTTAATCTACATTTAGAACACTCTAGTGTTCAACCCGGACACCCGTCACCTTTAGAGCCTTTTCTGGCGTAATAAACTAACTAAAAAACTGAAACTACGCGATTATCGATGTTTTTGTCATATTTAACAATTTATTTTATATCTATTAAAAATGACCAACAATTTATCGACTCTGTGTTGAAATTGTGATAAATAAGATTATTTTGTTAAAGGAAGACATTTCAGGGAAGGTCAGAACCCTAGAACCCTGCCCCTGCTGCGTACGCCACTGGATACTAATGAATTGTACGGTTTACAGAGACGCTGTCGTGCGATCACACCAAAGTGACACCGTATTTCATCGAGTCGATCAACTCCAACGTCGGATTCTGGTCGTTACCTTGTGCCAACAGATTTTACTTCAACTTGGGCCTTTGCGATCCGCCGGAGTCCGAGTACGTTTTGATGGGCGAACACGTGACACACAAGTAAGCGAATTTTAAACGGGATTTTAAAGGTAAAACACTCGAGTTTTATCGAAAACTATAATAACGCTTTTGGATAAAATATTTTGTTTTACACTACAACTGGCTTAATAATTATATAAAACAACATTTTTTAAATAAAAAAATATTATATTTACTATTTTCTATCGTTATCACTTATCAGTTTTAATTTTTTTTCGAACTTACACTTTTTGAAAGTCATAAATATTTCAAAGCAAAATATTTTTCTGGGAATTTCAACGAGTATAGTTTATCATATACTAAGTTAATTTATTATGGTCTTATACTCTAGGATGTGAAATTTAGAATGTACGATGTTATTCAAAAAAGTAAAACCCAAATAAGATTTGATAATGAACAAAAAAGTAAAAAACACTCAATAGTTTTTTCAAAAATATTATTTTGTATAAATTTTAAATTATCTAAGATAAATATTTCCAAAACCATAAATACTTTTCAAGAAAGCGAGTGTTTATCTTTAAAATAATCACCTTGTATATTATCTACTTACACTATTATATCATAGCGAATGGCAATTTTCTAATTTTTACAATCGCATTCTTTTGCGCCACGAATATTTTGAGTTTGAATTTTGATCTTCCAAGCATGCTCATCTCCATTTTTAAATTTAATAATGAATTGATTCAAATCCCGTTTTGTGGAATTTTGAAAGATACTATTATGTGAACATTTTTAGAAAATTATTAGCAGGAAAGGACGATTGTAATTTGAAAAACAGAAGTTTGTATTATCCCAGGATAAACATTATAAACATAAATTAATAAAAACTTAGTATCGATTCTCGATGATAGATATAATAGTCTCTCACCGTTAGAAATGTTGTCAATTGAAAATGATTTAGCCCAAAAAGTAAATTATGAATGCAAATAGCAATCAAACAGTTTTCTAAAAAGCTAAGTTTTAATATAATTAATATTAATTATAGTGATAAGTATCGAATTCAATATTAATTTTATGAGCATGACGTCATGAAGTCAAAAATAAAAAGCACATACTATTTTTATTTATTCTCACTAAAAAAACACAATTTACCTTGGTTAGGGGGAGGGAGGTGAGGCACCAATGCATCTTCTAGCTCCGCCCCTGATCACACCGCAGGTTCTTATTATGTTTTAGTTTGTCCATACGCGTATTTTCGACAATATTTTTTAACGCTTTCTTACTTTTTTTGTTCACAGAGCTCGTGGTATTTATTACCTGCACACGAACGCGAAGAAACCTTACGCCAGAGGCTTTCCCAAGAAGACGCTGAGGACGTGATCTTCGTCGTCGTCGACCTGTAGCCGTCCACGGACCTTTGCAACCCTCTCAACGATAAACTCTATAGATAATAATAAAATATAGGGAAAAAAGGCCTAGTCAAATAATATTATGTGTATTATTAATATTGTTTTGTGCGCACTGATACCTGCGCAGAATAGAATATATTATTTTAATCTATTCTGTGCCGACATCGTCCGCATATTATAATATTATGAGACCTTAGATCATATACAACGGACAGAGAAACTATGCATTATAAAAGCGCACTACACGTGTTTGAAGACATAATTATCGACGAGTCGCCAGAGAATTATTGACTTCGCACTTATCGCTCATGCGTATCAGTATACTCGTCGCATATTTATCATACGGGTACAGTGAAACTTCAATAATATCACACGAAGTCTCGCGGGCAACGAATAAAATTCGTATGGTAGAGAAAAAAAAGAAATATTCAAATTTCAAATTTGGTTTGGTTCATACAAATTAAACAGAAAATGTTATCGAATGGAAGTTTCACTGTTTATCAAGTCATAACCAGCGACGACACGAATTGCGCGTGATAACGGATGTACCTACTTACCAACCGAATGCGAATTTTCCCCAATTCCACTACCATTGTTGTCGTGTCGGCTTCAAACATTTAGTCAGGTGTAGCTCTATCCATTGTGTATGATATGATCTAAGTATAAGACATACATAGTTTTATTATTATAAAATGATAATAATATTATGTCGTATGTATTGTATATATACCTACTGCCTTCGTGCTTATTACCGCGTACATACATATAATATAATATATTGCTTAGGTATATATTTATCCGGACGGTGAATGTTTCAAGTTTTTTGTGATCGTAGATTATAATATTTTGTAAATAATTATTTTCTGTGTATAAAATAGACGAATAGTGTTACTGCAGCGTATTATAGTCAACATGGTGTATAGTTGTAGTATAATTTATTCGTACAACAGTTTCGTATATTGTTGTTCGATCGTTTTGAAACCATTAAGTTGGAACTAAAACGCTAATAATTGTATATTATAATATATATTATGTGTACTAGAATAAGGCACGTGCGTCGTGCAGACGATAAATGTCGAGAAAAAAAAATGTCAATTTAGTTTAGATTAATGAGTAAAAATTGGTCTAGTGGTACCTAATAATGAATAAATATGAAAATTATTATGACGCGTCTCAATAATAATATAATATAGGTATTAGTAGTATATGAAATTTCCTATTATGACATCACAATCGAAAATTGTATTTTATTGCCATATATATATATTATTATTATATTACAATTATTGAAAATAAAATGTTTATTGTAACCGAGTCGTATCTTCTGTCCGTACATATTATAATGCTTACTATAATGCTCTATAAAACACAAAGACTTCATTAATACTTACCAAAATACTATTATAAGATTTGCATAGGTATTATTGTGATAAAGATTTGGGATATCCGAGAACAAAAAAAGGTGGGCAAGTGGGTGTCGCTCTGCTGTACAGTAGGTTACAAGTGGGTCACTGTAATGGATTGTATTTAATTTGAATTCAATGATGTATAATATCATTGTATAAGAAAAACGGTTCTGAGCGAAGACGGTTTATGATATTACAAAGTATATTTGATGATATTATTATTGTGAACAAAGTAATTTATAGTAAAAACCCTATTTACATGGAACCTAATGTTTTAAATGTTCAATCAGTAGCTATAAAAATTAAACAATTTATACATTTTTAACTTTAAAATAATTATTACATAAAATGTAAATAAATTTTAACCTAGCCTAACCTTATAAGGAATCTTGTATTAAATTTTAAAATCTTAGACTAATAAAGAAAAATTTTAGGAATATTTAACTACAAATAATTTGCACATTTTCGTGATTTTTACGCCTTTTGTCAAAATTCAAACTTTAAATGCTTAGACAAAGAAATTATTGTGACTATATAGACTTTTAATATTTTTAAAATTTCATTGTAACAATATATTAGGAGCCTTGTATTATATTTTCAAGCTTATTTACACAGAAAATAAAATTTTATTGACAATTATAGAAAAAAAAACCAAAAAAGATGCTCTGCTGTATAAATTTGAATTCAATGATAAAATATCATCACAAGGAAAACGATTCTGAGCGGAGACGGTATGTCAGTCTAGGTATAAGACATAATTATTATATCATTGTTAAGTAAGTTGAATTAATATCAATAACTTTCAACAAAATAACTAAAATCGTGATTTTTGGTTATTTTCCTCCAAATTTTAACATAATATAACTATAAAAAAAAACTGTGTTATACTATTTAAGGCGATGGTACATTTTATGTTCGTCCCGCTCATTTTTAGCAACTTTATACAATTCATGTTCTACATGATTTACTTATGTACGTTTTTAAGTTTTAAGTTGCTATCTAAAACAATTAATGTTTATGCCAAAATGTTGCTGTTGCATTTAATTAAAAAATTATGTATTAAAGAATTAAAACCACAAAATATACTTATGGATTTTTAATTATCTGATCATAATGGAGTTTTGTGTATTTTTATAAATGCACAAATTAAATGTTGCCGGTTTCATCTAGGACAAACTTGGTATAGAGAAATTGGAAAATTGGTACTTAAAATTGAATACGACAAAAATGAATCAGATATTTCAAATTGGTTCAAGTATTTCTTTTGATTGGATTTTGTACCTTCTACTGAAATTTCTGATGCGTTTTATGAACTATTTCCTATTGGTCGTAATAATTTTAAGATATCAGAATTTTCTGATTATATTTTAGGAAATTTTATTAAAAATTACAGCAGATGTCCACCACACCTTTGGGCTGAACCGCCTTCGAACGAACCGCAAGGACTTTCGATGGTCCAGAATTATATCACCGTAATTTGAAAGATCAATTTTGTAACCCACGTCCATTATTTAATAGTATTTATAATACTATCGAAGTGCTTAAACAACACCAGACAGAAGCTTACTTAAAAATGCAATTAAATTTACGAAAAACCACAAAAGGTCTCTTTTTTTGAGTACTAAGGTAGTACTAGATAGGTACTAAAGTCAACTCTAATATAAAGCATGGAACTTTTACATAGAAAAAAAATGTTCAGATTGGCCTATTTAAAACAGTGGGCTTCAAATTTCAAATTTAATATTGAACTACTTATTATTATTATATTATACTTATTACTTTTTAGGACTAATATTATGTAATTTAAATTTCAAATGTTCATTTTATTTCATTTTCTAATTCATTTTATAATCACTAAAAGCTTAATACCTATTAATAACTACATTATGATTTTAATAAAATACATTTTCTATTTGTTGAATTTTTTTTGGCCTTTTGTGTTGCGTTTGGGTCATACATATTTTGCGCTTATGAGCTACAGCCGACTTCTTTTTGCACCTGATAGGTATGATGATCTGCAGCTCCGTCTAGGACGAGATTATCGAGTTTTCCTTCACAAGATAATGTAGCTGAAACTCAATAAACTAATCGAGCTGCAATTCTACAGCATTACTTTCAAGACACTGTGTAGGCATTTGAAGCGCACACAACCATATAAATGTACTTAGTACCTATAAGTTTCTTAGACTAAGTGTGGGCCATTCCACAAGTTCACCAGGAGTGATATTTACGAATATAATATCTATCTGCACAAGACGCATATAATATAATAATATGAAAAACTTTGATATTTTCAACATCTTTATTTTTATCGTTATGATATAGAAAGCCATCTTCTGGCAGTTTTATGAAAAAAAACATATAAGGTGCGGTCACGCACAGGGCAGCACATCGGTACGTATCAGTACGTACCAGACAGTATACGTGATGGCCAATGACGTGTTTTTCGTTGACCTCAGAGCGGAGGTTTCAATTTTGTAACACTTAAATGTTACGAAAAACCAAAATAACCGGACTCGTCGCTACTCCAATTGCTCACCGAGACGGGATTTTCGGTGAATTATTTCGATGTTTCTCTGAGCTTCGACGTCTTGTGCCTGGTCTTTTTGTTATTGCCAAATAATGGCAGCTATTTGACACCGTTGAACTTCCTCAGCAATATCACGTGTACCGCTTTGCTGAGCATAATCTTCTACAATATATATTCACGTCGGAATCTGTGGAAACTGGACGGAAGTTTTTCAATTCTTTGGAATACTTTTGTTCATACCTATAGTTCAGGTAAATATATAGTGTTAACATTTACTCATAAGTTATTATTATCATGTATTGAAACTTTTATGACTCAGCTGAGTTTTCCGTATGCACCTAACCTTAGAAGTCATTTATTTATTATAATAATAAACGGGAGAGGCCCTTGACATTTTAATACACAAAATTAATAATTAATAATTTAATAATACACATAACCATCCAAGCATTCCAGTCCATATCCCTCCGTCTCATAACATCTGCCCCATGGTACTTAACAAATAATACACTTCACAAGGACTTAAAAATACAAACTTTTGAACAGCTTGTTTAGTTAGCTAAATACACTATAACTGCACTAAATTTTACAAAAAAATACATCTACATCAAAATCCTCTTATCTCCTACCTATCATCACGTACACTTCTCGACAATCCCCCTAGCTGCCTTAAAAGACGCTGGTGTCGTGATCTTTTATTATAAGAAATCAAAAAAAAAATCAATAAATTAAGTTTATTTCAAATCTGAAGGGTTCTATCATTGGATGGCCTCCTATATCCTATCATTCTGTTATTATATTATATTGTTTTGTTGTACATATTATCACATTTGAGCATTGTGTTTTATTAATACAGATTGTACATTTTCTTAGTGCAGAGCAAAAGATGCATTTTTCAAAAATTTATTCTGGACACGTTCAATTTGGCAAGAGTCACGTATAGTATGAGGGTCCAAAATCACTACACCGTATTCCAGGTGGAACGAACAAAAGCACAGTAAAGCGCTTTTAAAGAACTACACATACTGACTGAAT